GAAAGAGATCACCGGATGTCGAGATATCGGGTTCCAAAGTGACAAATTCATTTTTGAAATTTCCGGTAATATATTGTAAGGGTGTGTATGTCAAATATAAGGAAAAGTAATTTCGACAAACACAATACTTCAGTGACTCACATTCTTAAACAAAAACCTCTTTTTTTTATTAGTACACAACCTGGCTCAGAACAAGTTTACCTATCAAAGTGCAAGCAAAATTCAAGAGACGTATGACGTCTCAGTTGAAACATTGCGACGATGGGCCACCTCCGGAAGGGTTGCTATAGTCAAAACACCCGGAGGAAAACGATTCTATTCAATTACAGATGTACACAAAGCCTTTGGAAATGACCAACAATCCACGCAAAAGACCAGGATTTGTTATGCAAGAGTCAGTTCAGAGCATCAATGAAACGACCTTGAACAACAGATCACAGATCTCTGACAACGTTATCCAAGACACGAAATTATCAGTGACATCAGTTAAGGACTCAATTGGAGACGCAGGGATTTTGCTACCCTTTTGGAACGAATATACTCTAAAGGAATCAAAAAAGTGGTGGTTACCCGAAAGGACCGTTTGTGTCGCTTTGGATCCAAACTTGTGGAGTGGATCCTTGAAAAAAAACAGCACATGGCTCGTGATACTCAGTTCAGATGTTTGTACCAATGATATGAAGCTGGAGAACTCGCAGAAGACTTGCTTGCAATCGTCACAGTGTTTGTGGCGTGACATAATGGACTATGTTCTGTCACCAATCGCAGAAGGAAAAGAAATGTCATCCAAGAAGTTCAAGAAGAAAGTGAAGAAACTTCCAGCAGGCAAGGCACAACGCATTCGCCTTTATCCCACCCAGCAGGAGCGGCTGAAACTCAGAAAATGGATGGGAACAGCACGATGAACATACAATCAATGTCTTATCGCAGTCGAAAAAAAGGGCATCACACGGGAAAAGAAAGATTACGAGCGTGGTGTCTCAATGCCGTAAACTTTAAGAACAATGCAAAACTTGAGTGGGTTTTAGAAACTCCTTATGATATACGAGATGAAGCTATGAATGACTTGAAGGATATTCTTCCAACTTTGCTGCCAATCGTAAAAAATTTAAGATGAATTTTCGTTCTCAAAAAAGGTACATTCTAAACACTGGGGTAGATCTCGTGGTGAATACGCATTTCTTCATAAAATTAAATCAGCAGAACCTTTTCCAAAACAACTTGAATATGATAGTCGCCTTGTATTAAATCGTCCTGGTGAATTTTATCTTTGTATGCCTAAGCCACTTGAAATATGGGCCGAAAACCAAGGTCCTTTATTTTTAGGAGTACAAGAAAAAGTTTTTATTTTATTTTAATTCTTTATATTATTTATACTATCTATTTTTTTGAAAAAAAGGAATGATCAGGTGTGATTGCTTTGGATCCAGGTGTACGTACTTTCATGACTGGTTATGATCCAAGTGGAATTGCTATTAAATGATGATAGTCGAATTTATCGACTATCGTATTCTCCCGGAAATAAACACCACCTGAGAATAAGCACCATCCCCTGTTTAGACTGCAAAGTAAGAAAATTATGAATAAGCACCACCTTAGATTAAAAAAATTATGTTTATTATACTAATTATAACATATATTTAATCTTCAAAATAATTTTCTTCAATAAGATCCAACATTTTATTTTATTTCGTATTTTAATTTCTCTTGAAGGCAGTCTCAATAAGCCCTTCGGTTGTTATTATTAATTGAACCTTTTTAATTCTTATTATTACGTTGGTCAGTTTGTGTACAAGCTGCCACAGGAGATCTCTAGAACCATAAAGAAATCCTTTATTACATAAATCATTCAGTCTAACTCCTAACTGACAGTCACAACCATTTCTCTTTATCTCGTAATCTTTTATTAACAACATGACACCACTTCATTTTGTTATGGCACTTATTCCAAATAAATCCGGTGATATTCAAGAAACTGTCCAGAAATAAGCACCACCCCCTATTTTGGAGTCAAAAAATGGCAGTTAAGTGGTGTTTAACGATATGTCATGTATATGACAAGTTTCAAAGTAATCATGATCGTATTCATGGAAAAAGAAACAAGCGTAAACGTTACAGGTAAGCTTTATTAATTAATTAATTAATATAATATAACATATTAACTACTTTTAATTATAGATTACATCATGTTATGTTACGCATTCATCATAAGTTGGCTAAATGGTTTTGCGAAAATTATCGTGTAATATTATTACCCGAATTTCGCACTCAAGGAATAATTAAACGTGGACAACGACGCATTGGTTCCAAGACCGCCCAAGCTATGTGTACATGTTCACATTTTCGCTTTGGCCAGCATCTGATTCATAAGGCACGCGAGCATCCATGGTGTCGGATAGTTGTTTGCACAGAGGAATACTTGTTGATTCTGTAGCTATATTCATAAAAAACTGGGTGGATCCAAGGTGTTTTGCTGCCCAAATGCAAAACAAATCTTAACAGAGATATTAATGGTGCTTGCAATATTTTCCTTCGATACCTTACAAAGATGGAGTCAGCTTAAGCTGACGTGAGGCTTATTCCCATACAGGACTTGTTATTACCTAATTTAGACTTTATTTAGTAATGTGGAGTTATATTAGTAATGATAGGTTTTAATGTAGGCATCAATATACAGTATACGGTGCATAAAATTTAAAGTTATCAATCTTAAGGAGTTAGTAATTATCATTATATGGGCTAAGTGCAATAGAAACGGTGTAAATTATATTATAAATTCTAATACAATTTACACCGTTTCTATTGCACTCAGCCCATATAAATAATCAAGCTATTGTATGTTATGACAATAATTAAGAGTGCGAGATTGATTAACTGCGTTGAGACCCATTAGCTCTTACATATTATACAGTTGGTACTAGATAAAGAATGTCATTTTTTTTATCATATTCTTATGTTTGCTAATAATATACGAGGTTGTGGTATAGAAAGAGTTGACTGTAATGTGAAATGCTAGAAAAGAAATCAAAATTGAAATAAATTAGTCTGTAATGTTCAATCTCAAAATAATATTCTTAGAGTTGTATAATTCAACAAGCCAAGCATTCAGGTGAATTGAATTTATTTATTAACTATCTTAGTGCTGAATAATCAGTAACTAATTTGAACGAGTTTCTCCACTTTCTTTTTCGGAAAAACCACACTTCCAAGCACCGATTATCTCGCCACGCTCAAAATCCGTAAATTGGCAATTTCTGCGAGTGTTGGTTGGGTTTGACATATTTTTTTTACGTCTTTTGAAAGCTTACGATTTCAGCTTTCTCACGAGTTATTGTACGTTATAATTGGACTTTTGCATGTTGCACAATTAACGATTAAAGTCACCCCATTATTTACGTCAGTCACTCCCGATTCCAAACTTTTGTCCACCGAGTGTACTTATCGTTATCAAAAACTATTATTAAATGACGTATTTTAAAGTTAATATAAAAAAATCCTTTGCATTGTCAAAATATTGGATGCCTTAAACTTCGCACCATATATTTTATTTAGTTCGGTAACTTCAGGACGCGATTCAGTCGCCGGGTCATTTTACATAGTCATGTGTTATGAAAACCAAAAAATTTAGTTTGTGTGACCCTACTTTGTATCTTGAAATTTTACTTATGAAACAGTCATTTGTGTTCTAACAAAAAATGTTCCTAACCGAAACTTTATTTAATATTGCATATAATTAAAGGGGACTTCGGATAGTTGGTGTCGGTTCTGAATCACGTGATCTATCACTTTTTTTCGCCGTCAGGATTTATAGTTATAGCGACGATAATTGAATAAATAAAAAGTATTGAAATTTAATTTCAATAAATACCATGAAATAGGTTAACTTGTAAAATTATAATTTCGTAATAACATTTTACTAAGAAACAAATAAGTGTTTATGCATTTGTTGATGGTGCATATCGATATCCTATGACCTATAGTGTATTGAAAAAATCCATTCTATCAAGTTTATTAGTCGCTAATTTACTATTGTGTAATTGATCAAAATAATATTGCAACGAATCTATTTGGTGGTGATCAGGCCGGAAATTTATTGTCTAAATACTGCAAACACAAGAGATAATAAATAAAGTCTACTCTTATTATGCAAGTATTTATTGACTTTAATGAATCAAAAATTTTTCCGCCGATATCAATATTAAAAAGACAAAGAAACGCTTAATGTTGATCATATCATGCTTAAAAAAACCGCAGTATAGTACAACAGTGTAACGTTCGTTTTTTTTACGTGTCAGGAAAAGTTATGCAGCATGTTTATAAAAAGGTGACAAAAGAGAAATGTCAAAACGCAAAAAAAGACGTTAATATCATGGATGGCATCGAAAAGCAGCCAGAATTAAAAAATTTGGCATCTGACAGTAAATGTGGGTCTATTGAGAACACTCGAGATAATATTCGTACAAGGTTTTTTTTTAATATAATCCTCCGATTTTTGTCTTTGCTTCTAAGTCGCGAGTTTAATTTTTTTATAGAGGATATCTTCCGATAGAGAATTATGGCCTAATTGGAAATTTACGGACAGTCGCTATTTGCGGAACTGACGGCTCAGTTGATTTTTTCTGTTATCCAAAGTTTGATAGTCCCTCGTTATTTGCGCGTTTATTGGATAGCGAAAAGGTAATTTTTGTGATAATTGAAAGAAATGGATTGATATATTAATACCAAGTATTACGCTAAAGGGAGGTCATTTCTCAATTACACCAACATCACACACCAGCAACAAACAACAATATCTACCAAACTCCAATATACTATGCACGAGATTTCTATCTGACGAAGGAGTCAGTCAAATAATAGACTACATGCACATCCCAGAAAAAAATCAACGACTTAACCTAAAACCACTTCAGCCATGGCACGTAAGAATCTTGGAAGTGGTACGCGGACAAGTTGACTTTCAATTGGAATTATTTCCGGCCTTTAACTACGCCCTAGACTCCCACACGACCGAAATTGTTGACTACACGGTAGATACTTCAAATGTTCACGATATTTTTGAGGAGGAAGTCCCGTCGTTATTCGTTGTCGGTGAAAAACGTGTTTGTTTCGACTCGAAAGATTTGAAAATTGACCTGAGGTTCACGTATAAACATAGTGACATCGGTGAAGATGATTTTCCGAAACTTGACTTGAAGATTGTTAATCGGGATCATTTCAAGGGACCTGGTGTCGTTGCGGAATTCACGCTAAAAGAAAATCAACAGATCATTTTTATTCTTCGTGAAATTCCTGATACGGTGAATTCGAGAGCTTATCAGAAAAACTTGCCTTTGAGGTTTATCGATCCGCCGTTATCGCTGCCATTAATGAAAGCATTGTTTCGTCAGACGGTAAAGTTCTGGCAGGACTGGATTGCTCAGTCTCGTTATAAAGGTCGTTGGCGAGAGAATGTTAATCGCAGTGCGTTGACTTTAAAATTATTGACATATGAACCGGTCTGTGATTTGTTTTTTGTATATTCCTTTCTTTTTTTTTTTTTTTACTAGAAAACAAATTTAATTTTCTCTGACTATTGATGGATTCAATTATAGACAGGGGCTGTTGTTGCATCTCCTACATTTGGTCTACCTGAAGGTAAAAAAAATTCGCCAGGTACTCTATATAACCTTTGTATTTCAAATTGGCTGAAATTTTTACTATTCTTGCATTGATTTCAAGAGATTGGCGGTCCTCGGAATTGGGATTATCGCTACACTTGGGTAAGAGAATGAATATTTAGTTTAATCAAAGTTTTTTGTGGAACCTAATTATTTTTTAATAAGGTACGGGATAGTGCATTTACGGTATACGCGCTAATGCGTCTTGGGATGACCGATGAAGCTAAACATTACATGCAATTCATGGAGAAAAGATGTTTAGACTTAGTGAGTTCACTTTTGCCTATTGAGTATATAACAATACCTAATAACCCAAATTATTCTCTAATTATAACTTCAAAATAAATTATTAGAATGAAGACGGATCGTTGAATATAATGTATAGTATTGATGGAGAAAAGAGATTGACCGAAATGAGCCTTGACCATCTTGACGGTTACCGTGGTTCGCGTCCCGTGCGAGTCGGGAATGGAGCCTATGATCATATCCAACTAGGTAATGGAATGTTTGCTATTTTTTTTTGGTTATTAAGAATATTATTGTTGTCAGTGTTGTCACTTTACTATGTCCAGTATGGTCCAGTTGACAACACTGATCGTTATATACATGATACCCTTATTGTAACTATAAATTATTCTTTGATATTTCCAGATATTTATGGTGAATTATTGGATGCAATGTATTTATATTTACGAATATATTTGGATGTAAATAGAGCTTTCGGATTTGCTCTGATTGATTTCTTTTTTGATGAATTTTATATAGATACCTTTACAATAAATATGGGACACCGATATCCTATGATTTATGGGTGAGCATAAGAAAATTAACCGATTACGTGTGCAATAATTGGGGGATGGATGATATGAGTATTTGGGAGGTTAGAGGAAAACGACAAAATTTTACGTATTCAAAAATAATGTGTTGGGTTGCAATCGATAGAGGTAATTATTATATTTCTATATTAACAATGAACTTTGCTTATTTCGTTTTTTTTATAAGATTTCTTCATAATAAAAATTATGTCAAATTATATATATATATATATATAATCTAGCACTCAGATTATCAGAAAAACGTGTCTTCCCATGCCAAAAGGGACAACGACAGCGGTGGATAGACACTCGCGACGAAATCTATGAAGAAATAATGCTTAAAGCGTGGAACCCCAAACGTGAAATATTCACGCAATCATATGAGTCTTTTGATGCGTTGGATTCGGCGGTGTTGATTATGCCGTTGGTGTTCTTTATTAGTCCGACTGATCCGAGGTTCTTGAGTACTATTAACAAAATATTGTTGCCACCTGAGAAAGGTAACTTATCCCTGTCTTAAAAATTTTTTGTTAGAATAATAAAACAATAATCATAATTTTTTTATGGTGCTAATTAGGTGGTCTGTTAGTCAATAACCTCGTATTTCGATATAATTATCTTACCACAGACGATGGTAACATTTCCAAATTTTCAACAGTAACAACACTTTGATTTTCCGTTAATAATATTTACATATTTGTTTATAATATAATTAAACCAAAAAGGCTTAGGTGGTATGGAAGGCTCGTTCTCCATGTGCACATTCTGGTTAGTCGAAGCGCTAACACGCGCCGGTAAATATGACTCGAATTTACTCGATCGTGCCGAATTCATTTTTGAACAGATGATTGGGTACGCGAGTCATTTAGGACTTTTCTCCGAAGAGATTTCGCGGTCGGGCGAATTGTTAGGGAATTTCCCGCAGGCATTTACGCATATTTCGTTTATTAGCGGTATTTTTTCGTTTCTATTTTTGTTTACCTTATTATAGTCATCAAATTTATTAACTTTGTTTTGGTTTTTTTCTAGCTGCGTTTAATTTGGACCGTGTGCTTAACGAAAAATAAATTATTCATTGTATGCTCTATTCAAAAGAAATGTATATATGCTATTACATTTTTTATTTATTTATTAAATTACATTTATTTATTCATTTTATCAATCATAAGAATTTTATATAATAAAAAATCGTGTTTGGCCTTGACCCTTTTTTGATTCGTTGAGTGTATTTTAATTGTCATTAGTCTCCGTGATAGATAATTCGCATAGTCTTAATATCAAACTTTCTTAAATAACCAAGTAAATGAGTGAACCTCTTAGCATGATTTTCAACAACTATTCCACCCCCCCAAAAAAACAGAATTCCATTATCATAAGTTCACAACATCACTACTGCTATCATCATTCCAACGAATAATAATCCCAAACCCACTCGACCAACTCCAAAAAACTAAACTCATGTAAGCGTTCTAGATCCTCCTGTATTATAATCTCCTCAATTTTTCGACGCTCCGCTTCCTCTTCCCGAGCAGCAAAGTACAGTTCTCGCGCGTTCATAAGTTTTAGTTTCTTTCTTGGTCGTCTACTACTACTACTACTATTACCGCGTTCACTATTATTGTTATTACTTTGATTATTACTACTAATATGATTAGCAGTATTGACATTAAGATTATTACCAATACTACCACTTTCTTCGCAATAGTCATAGTCTTCATATTTATCATAATCATCATCCTCAATATCTTCAGCCTTTCGCTTTGGCGGTCTCGGATGATCCGGTAAAGTATTCCAACAAGGAATAGAAACATAAATATTTTCATGAGGTTTTTCTTTATCAATGATTGTTGTTTCTTCAGGTGGTTTTTGTTGTTCTTGTTCTTTCTCCTTTTGCTTATTCTCCAATGATTTCGAAAAAACAGATGATGGTAATTCGAGATACCGATGTTGTATTTTTGCACTTTCACCGATATCATGCTCAAACATATCATCTTCCCTTTCAAACAGAGAAAATGGTCTTTTATTACTAACATTTACAATATTATTATTGTTATTACTAATGTTATTAATGTTATTATTATTATTACTACTGCTAGTAATGTCATTATTACTAGTAGTTAATGAATCGGATTTCAAAAACGATGATGTTGTTGTTACTACTTGTGACTGTTCAATGGCAGCGGCAGTAAAATCATACTCATTTCTTTGATTAATATCGATTGCCTTAAATTTTCCTTTTGCAAATCTGGATAATGGTGTTGGACTTGGAATTTCTTCTTCCTCCTCGTCATTAAAGAAAGAATCAAAAGAATCATCGTCGCCTTTGCCCTGATATACACACTGGTCTTCCCTCTCTACAAAGCCATCATATTCATCTTGTTTATTATTTTGTTGTTGCGTAAAATGAACAATGTGATTGTATGTTCGGCGAGCAGAACCACCATTAGCATTGGTAACAGCAGCGATCGTCGTGGTTGGTTTAAGTGGGGATGGAAAAGGTGTTGTTAGTGCACTATAAGCAGCACCTGATTCGGTTTTTGTAGGTGATCTTATCCAGAATAACAAATCTTCCATCTTTTTTGTAAACTATGTTCAAAGAAAGCGTGAAGTAGGCGCCACTTGCAATGTACCCTAAATTTTTGATACTTTCTAGTGAGCCCCAAAAATTCGATTACTTTTTTTTGAAAACAGCGCAAATTGATTCTTCTAAACTAAATTCAGGATACATATCAAAAATATAATTTCAAATAATTGAAGTTTTTACAATATAATAATGAAAATTTTTTTTGATAGCAAATATTTATTATATTAATTACGATATAATCTATTTAAGTATAATATGATAGTTGAAAAATAGTCATACCAAAATGCTTAATCATACCAAATCAATACCAAAATTATATCAAATCAAATTATTTATTATCGTTATCTTGAATTTATTTTTAATCCTAATCCTGATCATATCATATCAAAGTGCTTAATTATATCATATTTAAATAGATATTACTCATTAATTATCAAAAAAAATGATTGTAATTGTCTTTATAATAGCTGGATCCAGAAAGAAATGTAAATGTGATTATATAATATAAATTTAAATAATCTGAAAATATGGTTTATTTGATTAAGATTAATATGAATTATGTTATAGTAATATCCTTAGTTTCATTAATAAAAATTTTCAAATTGTCATTATATATTATATTAAGTAGAATTTTTAAATATTAATTCTCTTTATTATCAATCTCTTTAATATAAATATCTTTTTGTTATTAATATTTATTGCAGAATAAATTTTAATTGGATTAATATATTGATATTGATTTTAATCTCTAAGGTATCAACTCTTTACATATCAACAAAATATCTTGTTCTATTATATTGATAAATTTAATACAAATTTATTTTGTTTTGGAATTTACAATTGTTATATATTTTTTTTTAATATTGTTATAAGTCAAATTTATTATTTCAAAATATCAAATTCTTATTGAACAATAATATTCTTTTATTTTATTGAATAATATTCTTATTGAATAATTAGATTATTATATTTTATTGGATAGTTAATTAATTAATTAATAATTATTTTATTTTATTTTAAAATTTGATTGATAATTTAATATTTATTAATTATTTATAAAAAAAACCATGTATCTTAGCTTAGAAAATTATTGAATTTTTTAATAAAGTTAATAAACAAATATAATATTAACACAATTTTTCAATTATTTTAATTAAGTATTATTTAGTTAATTTAATCTCTTGACTTTTATTATAAAGTTATATTTATAATTTTGTTATTTGGTTATAATCTCTTATTATTACTGTAAAGTTATATTTATTAAATTATTACTATTATAAAATTATACTTATAATTTCTTATTTTAATTGTAAAGTTAGTTAAATTAATTTAATAAAAAGAATAATTAATATTTATCTATTTGTAAAAATTATAATTATATTTATTTTTATTTAAAGAAGATTTTTAAATTCATTCTAGTTATTTAACAAAATGAATATATGTTATCTATTTTTAAAAATAGTATTATTTCTTTTTATTTATAATTTTAATTATTTACATTATCTTTCTTATCTAATTTAAAATTATATAAAAAACACATTATATACTTGAAAATTATAAAATTATATAAAATGAAAATTTATCAATTAATTAGTAACAAAATTATGTAATAATTTAATATTAATATTAATTTTAATTAAATTTTAATTTTAATTTTATCTAAATATAAAATAGTTTGTACTAAAATTAAAATATTAAATTAATTTTCAAATTATTTGAGTTTTTTTAAATTAAACTAAATATATTTGATAATAATTCATATTTCAAATTTAATCTGGGAGTTTTTCTAATTGCAAAGTTAATTAATTTTTTATAATTAAAGCATATAAAAAATTAATCAACTTTGCAATTAAAAAAATATGTAATTTTGTATTTGTAACAACCACATTTTAATTGGCTAATTAGAATCTGAGTTAGGATTAAAATTCTGTATATGTGATTGGTTAATATTGAAGTTGTTACATGTAATAGTTATTACAATTAGATTAATTCTTTTTGATTGCCATTGTATGCAATTTGAAAATAAAATTAATTATTGTATTTTGATTTACATAATGATTCTTAATAACGAGAACAACTTCCTATTAAAGTTAGAATCATGTTTCATGAAACTTTTTGAATTGAATCATAGAACCTGTATCGCGGAATTTTCGGCCGGATGACGTACAGATCGTCAGGAGTCGGAATGTAAAGAGATAAAAGCACATGACTAGCCAGCTAGCGACCATCAACACCATCAAAATGTACATATACAAAAATGATAAAATAAAAGAGAAAAAAAGGATCTTTGTCAAAGCCGACAACTAACTTGTTTGGTTGATATACCGTTACTTACACCTTGTATTTTTTTTCCTTTTCTTTTCCCACAGCCTCCGTCCCTCCTTTTCTCGCCTAATATCTATCTATCTATCTATATTTTTTCACGCAGACAAAGAAACAAATAGAAGTCTTAAAAGTTTTCCTGTTACGAAAAGTGACTTTATTATATCTGTAATTATAATTATAACCTTTTATATTTTTTGGTGAGTGAATAAAATATACGCGTGCGTATGTCTCATGTGAACAGTAAGATTTTCTGAATTGAAAAAACACGTTTATTGACTCTTCATTTTTTTTTCGTTTTTGGTCAACAACTGCTTCTCCCGAATATTGCTTAGCTTAAAGAGTGAGTGAGCAAGAGGGTTTCGGTATACTGCGTATTTGTCAATAGAGCTTGTGTCTCTACACAAACAAACAAATATACGTGTCTCATATAAATAAGGAAGGCGAGTATTCTTATTACATCTGTCACATCTTAACAACCAACAACCATGGACATCAGTAACAGTGAAACTCAGGAAACTAGCAATTACACGACAATAATTGATCCGGACGAATCGTTCATGACGTCTTTCAAAGCTGCAGCAGCGGCAGTCACAGAACTGTATACAAAAGGTGCGAATCAAAGGCGTCAAGCTTTTCAAAATGGATATCAAAAGTGTTTGGAGGATTTGATGAACTTTGTTAATGCACATCAACAACAAAGATCGCAAGGTGATGGTGCAGATGGTAATAATAATATAACAATAACAAGTGTAGAACTGTGGAATTGGGCTCGTACAAAAAATCATGAAATACAGAATTCTGTGTCTGCTTCATCGACGTCTTCGCGTCATCAAGCACAGCAACAGCAATCACAACAATCTCAATATAATCAGCAACCACCACCACCGTCGTCATCAGAAGCACCTCAAGCACAGCCGCCACAACAACAAGCACCTCCAAATGCTGCTGCTCCTCTTTCTCAGGTCCAGACAAATCTCTTTTGCAACGAAAATGGTCAATTCACATTCTGCTTCCAACCGAATGCTACCATGATGTATAATCACCCGAATCAGCGTGAAATCGATAACATTGACACTGGTCAAGAGGGTGGAATCGGTACTCTGATGGGAAATGATAGTCTAAAGCGTAGATTGAATGAACAACATTTCATGGGACGCCCGATGACGGATACATTCTTTGAACCATCTTTCAAACGTGGAAGATCACGTAAAGAAGAATGAATCACACTATAAAGATAAAAAAAATGAATTAAATGATCATAATAAAATATGCGTGGATTGTTACAAAAAGTCAATTATTTGGTCAATTGGATGGATGGTTTTTTTCTTTTTCCTTTTTTTATGTACTATTTTACTTTTTGTGTCATGACTTATGATGACACTTAGGAAGATAATGACGATGATAAGAAGACAATGGCTGTCCTAGTGGTGCTTGGCCACTTGTCGTATAAGGTATTAACTTATTGCATAAAGTCTGTCTATTAATTTAATCGAATAAAAACGTTAAATGAACCCCGATTTTATTGATTCTTGTAGAGTATACTAAAGAAATTCATGAGTTGCACTGCCCAATCCATACAATAATAATGGCTGGTTGATTAGATTGATTGAGTTGATTTGATGTTGACATTAAACATTTTTAATAGTTATTAGTAATTATTATTAGTTGTAGTCGTTGGTAATTCATCATAATAAAAATAATAGTATTTTCTGTTTCTTTTCTTTTCGAGAGTACTCTTATTTTGAGTATACATATATTTCGTTCTGTATAGATATACTGTATAATACTAATTTTAAACCGTACATCTTTAACCGTACACCTCTGGGTTGACCAATCAAATTCAACTGTACAATCCTTATGAATTTAATCTAAAAAGCTAAGCGATCTATGGTAGTACAAAATTAAAAAGTGATGGATGAAATTTCGGGCAAAACAACCACTTTCAAATTTTACAAAAAACCATAGATCTCAAAAGTAAAGAGAATCAACATGTCTCTATCACCTAAAGCAACACCAGTAAATAGCGCACAAATCTATCACCTAAAGCAACACCAGTAAATAGCGCACAAAAACAGGCGACGTATCAAACTACACCTGTTTCTCCGGAACAAAGCACATCGTTGTTGTTAGCGGCAACAGTAGTATCAAGTACTTTGCCTGGACATTTAATAATAGAACAACGAAATAGCATTGTTGCAGCAAGCGATAATAGTTCCCCATTAACAAGCGGAACATGAGCAAGACACCCTTTACAAGAGAAAGCGGATTCTATGGCTCAACAACTTTCTTTGATAACTAAAGCATTGGTGTGTGCTTGCTTGCTTTCAATTATCGTTATTAAAACGCAAAAATTTTGATAAATCTGCAAGCCTTAGGTTCCGTTTTTTGATGTCGCGTTATATTCACGTTTTTTAATGCCCAAAATATCCCATCGTAATACAAATGAGTGTTAACGTTAACGGTTAGGGTTGAGGATTATATGTGAAATTACCTTCCCGATATTTTTTATTAGGTTTTGCTGATTCCAGGTTGATAAAAAACTTACACTCTCTTATTTAATATTATCTATGTGAAAGACCTTGAGAAAGAAATTCATCGTATCCTTCAATCTTCTTCTAAATTACGTAACTATAATAATAAGTTGAGAAGAATTTTAATCAAGAAAGAAGGGGATGGAATCGGAAGAGAAATAAGTGGGATCAGAAATTAGGAGGGGCTAACATCGAGATTCAGAAATTACGCACCCATGATCTGGAACTCATTGATGAGACTAGGTGATTGCAGATTGAAAATGCTTGCAAAGATATCTCTCTTGTGGAGTTCAAGGCTAAGAATGATACAAAAACAGAGAAGATTAAATCACTTCAAAATGATATGAAATTATTGAAAGATAAGTTAGATTTATTCCAAAAGGACTCATTGAAAAAAGAATTTGAAATTGAGTTTCTCATGTTTAAAATAATTAAACTAATCTTGAAAATTAGTGAGCTTGAGTTTTTGAAATTAGATGTATTTCAATTTGTAATTGGTGGAACTGATGAAAAAAATATATTGAGCTCTAATAATATTTTTACTATTAGTAAATTTAATAAAAATTTCAGTAAATATTTAGTATGTAAAAAAAGCCAAAAAAATTAATAATAATATTTTTATACATATCAATAATAAGATTATTTTTATACTTAATGAATCAGAAATTCAAGATTATATTTCATTTTCAAAAATTAATATAAAAATTATTCACAAATTAAGAAATGAAACTAATATTAGTGAAATTAGTAAGAAAAAGAATGTGATTTCATATTGCTACAGTTACTTTAAATGAAGGGTTTTTTCACTATTAGTAAGAGTCATATGAGTTGGGAGAGAGGAATAGACTAATAAAATTGATCAGTGCAAAAAATAAGTATCTAAGCCTGTATTAATTTTGTCAAAAATTATTAAACAATTCTATCAAAGATGAAAAGATGAGTTGAGAGAGTGTGTTCAAAGGGGTGATTGATTAATAAGAGTTACTAACTAAACAAAAAGGTATTAATTTTTCTATATTTGTAGTTGTATATTCTAGTGCTTTCAATACTGTCATGATATGACATTTAACGAACAATCTTATTGGATAAGATTTATATTAATTATTATTGGATTATATATATTAGT